GCTGCACAGCGGCCAGGCCCGGCAACCCGCTGGGAGCCTGCACCTTATTTCCCTTCCAGAGAAAAATCAGGGGCTGATGGGGTCTGGGCTTCCCTCACCGGCCCATCCCAGGACCCTGTGGCCTGTACATATGAGCAGGAAGAGAGAGGTCCGCCCCATTCCCGCTGGGGAAGGCTGGGGATGGTGGGAAGTGCGGGCGGACAAAGGCACCTCTCCTACTCCAGGGAACAGACATTAAGGAGAAAAAGCAAAACTAAAAGGCGATGGGAAGCCTCTGGGTGGACCCCAAGCCTCTTTCCGTATTAACTCAATCCTGAGATGCAAGGGGTGTAGGGCAAAAGCTTCCCTCAGGCCCAGCTCTCTGGACGCCTGGATCTCAGGCCTGAATCTCAGCCCCGGGGCTGCAAGGGAGCCGTGTTCCAGTGGCTTCTAAAAGGCCGAGGGAGGACGCATGCTTCCAATTAGCCTTCTGGGGCCCAGCCCCCGGCCTCCGCACCAGGCAGTTTATTTGTCTTGCTCTGTGACACTCCTGCCCTCCTCCAGCTGCTGGCGGTTGCTGGCTTGGCTTTGGGTTTCTCCTGCCCGAGGGGGAGCCCCTAGGAGCAAATGCAGCAGCTGTTCCTTCTTGTCCAGAGCCTCTCTCTCTCTCTCTCTCTCTCTCTCTCTCTCTCTCTCTCTCTCTCTCTCTCTCTCTCTCCTTCTCTCTCCCTCCCCTCCCCTGCCCTGTGGTCTATCTCCATTTATTCTCTTAAGGAACTTAGCAGTTTAGAAGTGGCCAATGTGAAGGTCAGTCTCTGAAACTATTTTGATCCTTTGCTGCCTGCCCAGGTTTTCCAGTGGCTTCTGCGCTTCCTGGCCCACCTCCCGCCTTCCCATTCTTCCATGAACTCCCAAGCTGGGGTAACCAGCCCACTCCATTCCCTGGGGCTCTCAGGCCTCTCCTACCAGTGAGAAGACAGGCCTGAGAGCAGTTTCAGCTCCTGCAGAATCCCGGGCTGGGATGGATTCCCAGGGCCCACTAAGACCAGTGCACTGCTTACTGGTCAGCTACGCCAAAGCCCAGCAACTGGCTGGAGGAGACACCTTTTCTCAAAGGTTTTCAAGCAACGAGGTATCCCATCGTGAGGCACCTGGGGGTGGGTCTGCCTTAAATCCCCTTGGGCACCGTCTATGTTTCTCTTATATAACAGGCGAATTCCATTTTTCTGGCTGAATATAACACATATTGCTTCAGAAACTTAGAGTTCAAAGCCAAGAGTATGTGTTTGGGAAACCTTTCTTCTTTTTTATTTTAATTTAAAAAATGTTTTTAGCTTTATTGAGGTGTAATTGACAAATAAAATTGTAAGATATTTAAGGTGTATGCCATGATGATTATATATATATATCTGCTTTCTCATATTTATCCAGCACATCTTTCAAGATTAGGAGACACATGAGATTCTATTTCTTGATATCTTAGACACATAGTTCCAAGGAACCCTTTCTATGAATAGCACTTGGGTAGAGTGGTCCTTGGTCTGTCCATTCTTTCAGGCATGGATTCCACAAACATTCACTGAGGAAGGCACTGAGGACTTAAAGGTAAGATGTAACCTTTGCCTTCAAGGATCTTGTGGTTTAGTGCAAGAGGGAGACATGTACAGAAAGGCTATAGCAATAAGTGCAAATGCTACTTGTCACCTATTTATGTTTGTGGATTTCTAAAAGGTAGACTAAGAGGGGATGGTTAGCCCTAGCCAGTTGGGCTCAGTAGATAGAGTGCAGACTGAAGGGACCCAGGTTCGATCCCAGTCAAGGGCATATACCTCAGTTGCAGACTTGAGCCCTGGCCTTGGTCGTGGCCTATGTAGGAGGCAACCAATCAATGTGTCTCTCTCACATTGATGTTTCTCTCTCTCGCTCTCTCTCTCTCTCTCTCTGTCTCTTCCACTCTCTCTAAAAGTCAATGAAAAATATCCTCGCTTGAGGATTACAAAAGAAAAAAAAGAGGGATATATGTATATATGCACATGTGCATATGTGTGAATGCATAAAGTCTCTACAGTTGTTCAAATGCAACCACTGACTACCCACAGGTATGAAAAACACTGGGAAGGGAAAGGGTAGTTGACCAAGCAGGCTTCATTGTCCTAAGGCACTATGTGAATATGTAAGAAAGTTCACATCAGTGAATAATCATTGGATGGAATATTCATAGACAGAGAGGCAATTGGTTTTTTTCACTGTTTTGATAACCAAGGTGGATCAGGCCTTAGGGATGAAACATTGACTACATAATAAAATGGGACTTTCAGCAAGGCCTGGTTCTTTTCACTCACTGAATTTCTCTCTCTCTATAGGCCACCCACCCAGTCATACATCAGAGTCAGAGAATCACTGAATTTCACACTTGGAAGAGAAGCTGGCATGAAAGAATGGTTGCGAGTGAATGTTCTATTGAACTAGACTATGTCTGCAGCCAAGCAAAGGGCTTACACTCAAAGAATAAATGCCATTCACTGCACTTTTCTAGACCATGGAGTCTGTTTGGTGGGATATGTTTCCTCTAAGCTTTCAGCCTCAACCTTCAATTCCCTTCAAGCTTTTGAATTCATAGAGTCTTAGGAGTCTCGTAGCTAAAGCGCACTTCTCTGCCTCTGGGGTGTTTCCTGCCACTTTCTGAACTTTATAATAACAGGGCTTTCTAACACGTAGAATCTCTGGAAGAAAACCAAGCTGGGCCAGAGCCAGGAGATGGCCAAGCTGCTGGATTGACCATCTGAAAGGGAGGGCCACTCAGATTCACTGGGAACAATGCCGGGCCAAGGTGATCCCCGCTTACCTCTGAAATATTGATCCGGCCCTCCTGGAAGGAGCAGGTGGTGGGGTCGTGAGTGCAGAGGTTGCGGTACTTGCACCAATGGCAGCGGAAGGCGCTGTTGACACAAGACAGGCACCTGCAAGGACAAAGACAGTCAGAGGCAAAGAGAAGGACCCAGAGAGAGAGGATAAGGGCATCAGGCAGCCTATGTATCCTGATGTTAGCCTGTGATCACAGTCTCATTCTCAGGAGAGTATATTGATGGGGCAGCCCTCAACACTGACCATTGTGGATTCTCCTTCTAAGCTATTCACAGGACGAGAGAATTGAAAAAAATAATGAGTCCAGAGTGGAAATATTGTAACTTATAAAGCAGAGGTGTGCTAGAGCTGGCCTGTATAAGTTCATGAGAGCTGGTTATTTATATCCTCAGGAATTTTGCAAGTGGGTTGATAGCTTGAAATTGGCCACAGGGAGTATTTACACCACAGGAATTGGCAAACACTAATATGAGGTTCCCCGCCCCGGATTGCTGGTGGTTAAACATTTCTTCTAGGACAGGCAAATTCCACTTTTCTGGCTGAATATAACAGATTGCTTCAGAAACTAAGAGTTCAAGGCCAAGAGAGTGTGTTTGGGAAAGCATTCAAAGGCCTACTTATAAGACAAAAAGGCTGAAAGAGCACTGGGGTAGAAACTGGGCAGCTCTGATTCCAGTCTTGCCTCTGCCTCTGCCACTGGGGTCACCCCGAGTCAGTCACTCCACCTTCTGAATAGGAATCTCTTCATCTGTCTGTAATCAAACTTTCCTGGCTCCTCCACAGGGATTTTAGCATCACACCAGAGAATGTATAGGAAATGCTAAATGTATTATTTTCAAGCCCTTAAATGACCTGTTATTTCAAACTCTCAAATCGTATTTGTTAATGATTGGTTCACATCACTTGTGCTCCTGAGCGTTGGGAGTTAAACAGTATTAAATGGAAACGTTGGCTCTCCAAGTAGCCAGGCATAGGTGGCAGTAGGCTGTGTGGCTCATGCATTTTTGCCAGGGCGAGCGCTTCCCTCCCTGCTGTTGTACCTACAGGATGCGCACAAAACATCACGGGCGGGCGCGCACGTACAGTGTGACTGAAACTTCGTGGCCCATGTGCAGAAGTTGGTATTTTGTGGAAGAGCCACACTCAAGGGGCCAAAGAGCCCCAGTTTGCCGACCACTGGTCTATTTTAAGGGCTAAAGAATCCTCTCAGGTTTAGCTGCAAACAGACCCTCCCCCCCGTGGATGCTGAGCCCATCATGCCCACCCTATAGACTTGATGCCTTGGACTTCTGCTTACTATGTCGACCCCAGGCTGTTCTTGTCCCAAACAATGGGAAGGATGGGTCCACAGAATATTCCCAATTACTGTTTCCTCTGGTATAGAGTTGTGGTTTGATCTCACTCCTTGCTGAATGTCCAAGGTCACTGGTCCCATGACCACTGCTCCCACTTTGTATGAAAGAAGTCTGTTTCTTTCCCAGAGAGGCCCAGCAGAAACTGAATGTGGGTCCATTTCTCCACTGCTCCTGGCCCTTCCAGCCTCCTGAGCAGCTGTAGGATCTCATAGCTTGTGGACACCCACTGGTAGGCATTCTGCTGCTGTAGAAGCTGGTGAAGTCAGCTGGGCTGTATTCAAGGCCTCTGGAGGCTAGGGTTTAGTCTGGCTCCCACCGCCTTCTTAAAAAGTTGAAGGCTGGGTTCGAACCCCAGTGGAGTTAAAGCCTCCTCTCCCTCTCCCAGCCCAGGTCCTGCTCCCTGGTGCTGGGCAAGGCTATGGCCCCATCCCTGTCCCTCCTCTGGGGGTAACTGCATGCATAGCTGAGTCTAATCTCTTGAGTCCTTCATTTGGTCATGGATAACATGTCTAACTCTACTCACTGTCAATCTCTATGTTGAAATGCACCAACAATTGGTCAGAAATGAAGACTTTTTCTTATGGTTCTAGACCCGTGGTCGGCAAACTGCGCTCACGAGCCACATGCGGCTCTTTGGCCCCTTGAGTGTGGCTCTTCCTAAGCCTTAGGAGTACCATAATTAAGTTAATAACAATGTACCTACCTATACAGTTTAAGTTAAAAAAAATCTGGCTCTCTTGCCAAAACCGGTTTGGCTCAGTGGATAGAGCATCGGCCTGCGGACTGAAAGGTCCCAGGTTCGATTCTGGTCAAGGGCATGTACCTGGGTTGCGGGCACATCCCCAGTAGATGTGCAGGAGGCAGCTGGTCGATGTTTCTCTCTCATCGATGTTTCTGACTCTCTATCTCTCTCCCTTCTTCTCTGTAAAAAATCAATAAAATATATTTTTTTAAAAAATCTGGCTCTCAAAAGAAATTTCGATCGTTGTACTGTTGATATTTGGCTCTGTTGACTAATGAGTTTGCCAACCACTGTTCTAGACCATGATCTTTGTCTTTACTTCAAACCTTCTTTTTATTCTCTTAGCTTGAGAGCTGGGAGTAGGGTTGTTGGGGGGGTGGGGGCAGGCAAGGGAGTCTGAATGAGACCCGAGGCTCTGGTCTGTGACTGCCATTCAGATGAATGTAACTGAATAAACTGAATGGAACTGGAAAGTAACCTTGATGGAGAGCTTCCCCTCTTTCAGACAATGTACTGGGCCCCGTAGGAAGACCGGGAGGTGAATATGACATGATTCAAGCTCAGAGAAACCCCACACCCACATCCAGACCCAGGGCAAGGCTCTGGCAAGGACTTACAGTTGGTGGGCGCTGCAGTTGTAGAACTTGAACTCGGTGCTGACAAATATCTTCCCTGTCTCCTTGGATCTCAGCTGCAGTTCTAGCCCAAACCAGTCTGGAAAAATAAAGGGAAAAAGATGGAGGTGACAACTTGCGGGCCCAGTGGAGGCCCTGAGGGTAAATCATTCCGCTATCTCAGGGCTCGCGGGGCACAGGTGGTAGAGAGCACCTGCCTGAGTCATCTCTTCAGAGTCCCTTTCATCCTGCTGAGAGCCAGGCAGCCCCACACCCTGGCTTAGGGAGGAAGTCATCATTCACATCCCACAGAGCCCAGCCTTTGGTCTGGCAAGTTCAGCGACTGAAACACTTCTAGAAGGATTAAGCCAGAACCTCTCAAGCCTCCAGTTCTGTGGAGAGAACCCCACTGGAAACCACCGGCTAAACCATAGCCATTCCAAGAAGGGAAGGGAAGTCTAGAAAAACGCTTTGCACACCAATGCAGCCTTAACCCAAAAGGGAGCAAGGGATTTCCTTCTTCCTCAGTTTCTCTTTGGGGCATGTCAGTTTGCTCTCAAACTCGTTATATAGCCCATTTGGGTGTTGGGCACAAGGAGACTTGGTCAGGCAACTTCTGTGCCGGTACTTGTCACCGGGTTCCCTGCGTTCTCTACCTCTGGTCCCCCTCGGAGGGCAGGCCCTGCCATGTGACTCTCATGGCAGACACTTCTTACCTTGATCCAATGGGATGACAGGAACATCCTTAGGCCCAGGTGAGATGCAGATGACTCTGGTCCCGGACACCTGTCCCTCCACCTCTGTCAGGTTTCCGAAGGCACATTTGATGCCCGCAGACAGATCTGGAGCATCATTCACAACCAGGCTGAGCTGAGGGAGGAGCAAAGAGGCTCAGAAGCAAAGAGCTGATACCCTTGGGAGAGCCCCAGGGGCGTGGAGACCTGGCCCTAGTCCTGGCCCTGCCATTGCCACCGCCTCACTAATCTCCCCTGACTTCATCTGTAAGAAAGGATGCTGATGTTGGTGATTTGGCTTTGACATTGAACAATTACAGCAGCGCTGCCAGGGTCAATGGTCTTTATTAATGTTATTATGAATCACTGGGGTGGGGTGCCCTCAGGGGAAAGGTACCCAAATCCATCTCAGACACAGCTACTTTTGACATGAAGCCACGCAAGCTTGAAAGCAAGTCATGAGCTGAGCCCTTCACAAGCTGTAGCCTTGGCTCCTAGGAGAGTAAGTGTCACCAACCTGGAGGTTCCCAGGAGCTCACCAGGTTGGTGAGAGACAGCCAGCTCCTCACTCTGGCTGTCCTTCGGGGTTCAGGGGCTGCTTATCAATGGGGTGAACGTGTTCAAGTTTCTGTTTATCTGTCCCTCTTGGGCTCTGGCCTGCTGACAGCTCCCCTGGAGGGGCAGTCACTTCCCAGGGTGCGGAGAGGATGAGAGAAAGCAGGGAATGGGCACCTGTGGCGTGGATGATGTCAGTTGGTACCTGGAACAGCTTTCAGAGACCTAGGCCAGTGGTGTCCAGCCCTTTCCAGTGTGAACACCCTCCTGGGAATGGTAAAAAACGTCCCCGACTGCCCGATTGCCAGAAGAATCTGTTGCTTGAGAAACCATTTAATGGCAAGGTGCTGGGCTGAATTCAGTGCACTTGGAAGTGAGCTTGTACTCAATGACCACACTATCACCTCTAAGTGGTATTTAAAACAATATGTGAGAAATGAGACCAGCTCCCTCTGGCAGTGGGAGGTGCCCATAAGGGGTCACCGTGACATACATCAGCCCTGTGGCCTCTGGGTTGGGAGCCCTGAGGTCGATGGGCCTCCTTGCGTCTTCCTAGGGGCACCTGGCGGGATTTAGCAGCAGTGGGCTTCGCAGTCACAGCGGGCGTCCCCTCGCCTTCCCATACATTTGCTTGCCGCTGAATCCCTGCCCCAGTTTCGTTTCCATGGGGCCCTGAGACTTAGGTACAAACTCCGCTATTTGTTCCCTCAGCTCCCTGGGAGCCAAAACCTCCCCGTGGGGATGAATGAACGGGAATCTTGGAAGGTTCATTAACTAATTAACATTCGTGAATGCTCATAAAACTTCAGAATGAAATAATTGTGCAGGGCCCGAGGACATGAGATATTTGGGGTTGCACTTTGACAGGTGGTTAAGGGCTATTGTCTTCTCTTTAATATTCTCTTTGAAGCACACACACACTGTGAATTAAGTCTGTTTCTGTTATACACACACACACACACACAAATGCAACTCTCAGGTTTCTGTGAGAGGCTGTATGGGTGGAGGATTATAAATACAGCATCTACCAAAGAATGCGTTATCTGCTATCGGATTGCAGGATGTTGTAGATGTTGGCTGCTAAATGCAAAATCGAGGTTTACAAAACAGATCAATGGATAATGAATTTGCAAGGAGTATGCAGGATGACTGTGCCCTTTACAAAAGCAGTTGGCCGCGGGTTTTCTATAAATACAGTTCCCGTGGAGCATGTAAAGCACGATCCATTTACAGCTTCCTGTGCGCGTGTTAAAGGAACCCGCCCACACGCGTGTGTGCCCCGTGTCCCCCTGTCCTCCTGGGTGAGTGACTTACCTGGCGGCTGTGCTCAGACACTGAGATGCTGCTGGGACGCACCTCGAGGCTCATGCACTGGCTGATGCTGGCAGCAAATCGATTGGGTTCCCAGGCCCGTTGGCACTTGTCCCTGCGGGAGCACCTGCCACAGACACAGATTCGCAAGAGGTCAGGCCTGCGGGAACCCTCTGTTGGGCTCCATTGTCCCCTAGGCGTAAGCAAGAGGGGTTTGCTGCTCTGAGGCCTGGGGCTGGTCCCCTCATTACCACTTTCTCTCTTCTCAGAGGCTTGGGTGCCTCCCAGATGGTCTCTATTGCAGTGAAAGACAGGCTGGGAGGAAGTGGGATTAACTCCCAGAATGAGAGATGCGGTTTAGACACAAAGCATAGCTCTAGTCAGCATCTTTAGAGGTTTCTCAATGAGTCAGGGAGGGGAGGTGGGGACCATGAGCGCACAGGAGGCTAAGAACATAAACTCTGGAGCCAGGCGAGCTGGGTTCTAGCCCAGGCCGATTGCATGCTGGCTGTGGCCCTTTGGGCAAATTATTTAATCTCCCTGTGCCTCAGTTTCCCCAACTGTAAAATGTTGACCTTATCTCCTAGGGTTGTGGTAAGGAGTACATGAGTTATTGCTTAGAAAATGGCCTCCTGGCCCCTGTAATAATAATAATATCAATAATGACTATTACTGTTCTTCTCCGGGGATATCTGAACGTCTGTCCAGGGTCTTAGCTGTGTGGGACAACACACAGGTGATCTTGTGGCTGGGTGAATGGCTTTCTGAAGGCAGGGACCGTGTTTTATTCACTGAGACACTCTACCTGTCACGCGGCACATTTTAAATAGATGTGTGTGGTGTGAAATAATGCCCGGAGACAGGCAGACAGACGAAGAATCGCAGTCAGGGCCGTGTCTGTCAGAATACTGTGTGGCTGTTCCCCGACAACTTTATCTCTGGCTCCCGGCGCCTCGGCCCGCGGTGGCAGGTGGGCACCGTGGCATCTCCACACAGGGGCATGTGGTTGCCACTTATGTCACACGGAAACACGCTGGTGCTTCCGGAGGGGGGGTGGAGCAGTGATTCCCACAGAACTCCTCCGCCCTTCCCCCTCTTCCTTTCCAGGCACATAATGGATCTAAATATGAATGCTGTCACAGAGAAGAATTATGGAGGTTTAAGTGAATCCTTAAGATAGCTCTAAAGTGAGCTCTCGACTGGAGCCTTTATCTCATTGACTCGCTGAAATGGCTCTTTTTTATCATACTATTTATGGCACTGGCCCTAACAGAGATAAATAGCCCTGGAGACAATAACACACTCGCAAGAGCAAGGCACACAGAAGAGACAGGAAGGTTGCGAATCCCCCGGGACCCACAGCTTCTTGAGCAATCTCCCTCAGCCGCCTGCCTCTGCTGAAGTCCAGCGTGTGGGCCCGCGGGCTGAGCTGGGCCCTTCTCCTCCTTCCCTCCCCCAGGCAGGCTGGTGGTGGCCAGTGGGAAGGGTAGCAGGAGGGGCTGGTGAAGAAGAGAGAAGAAAGCTCTGGGTATGACCAGGAAAAAGCTTGCTCCCTGCCTACTCTTGGCCGGCAGAGTGGCTGGAAGGAGGGGTGTGCCCTGGTAGGTAGCAGGGCGTCTCTGAGGACAGGTAAGCAGTTCAGAGGGCAGAGGAGATCTGAGACTATGATGACATGGCTCAGTCTTTCTAGAAGCCGCATCTGGCCTGGAGGATGACAGGGGTGGGCCGGGGCCACCAGGAGGCTCCGGCATTGCCGACAGGTTTGTGGGCACACCTACAAGTTGAGGAATGTGGATGTCCTCGCTGCTGAACGGATGGCAATCCTCCATCCATAACTTTGGTGTGTTCTACCTGGGGGAAGTGATGCTGGCAGGAGCTGGTGGCCATGGCAGGAGCAGCAGGGAGTGAGTGGTACAGTTGGACATGCCCACTGCCCAGTGAGAGGGCAGGTACCCAGGACACACTGCGTGGCTGTCGGGTTCTTTGGAGGGAGAACTCCTCTGGAGGAGAGAGCCCACTGGGCAGGTCAGCCTCACAGAAGGGAACCCAATTTTAGGCACCTTTGCCATTCCCGGGCCACAACAGGGGTGTCACCAGCCATCTTCATCCCTTGCCTGCCCTTAATGGGGACTCCATGTCCAGGTTCCAGTGCAAGCATTTTTATCCAAAACTTTTTTTGCAAACCCAAGCGGGGAACCCAGTATTTGTGGGCTCAGATCCAGTCCAGATTTTGCATCTGCGAGGCGCCTGCTTCCCTCTCTCCCTCCGTAGCCCTCCCAACACCTGCTGCAGAGGCTGGGAGCCAAGAGCTATTGTGCGGCCCCTGAACTCTGGCCCCCGCCTCCGCCTCCGCCCCAAACCCAAACCCGGCGCATTTCATAGAGATGCTTTGCCGGCTGGCACCGAGCCACGGAGTTTCCAACTCCACTGGGGAACAGAATTCCTAGTCAGCGCCTGCCTTTCAGGGTTTCACCCTTTTCTCTCCCTCTGCGGCTCTTCAAATTCAGAAATTTAAGTGTAACTTTGCATTTCTATGGAGCTGGCATTCAATGGCGGGTGTGTGTGTCTGGGTAACTAAATTGGGATATGTGGCCAGTAGGAGTGGGAGGCAGACTTCTTGGAATCCTGAAATAATGCGGCCAGAAGGGTGCCCCCGAGTTCAGGGCCCATAGGCATTATTTTCATTTGTGCAGCCTATTCTGGGCTTCCTTGTTTCCAGAGCGTTTATTATCTCATTTAATCCTCACAAGTCACCGGTGAGGTAGGCAGGGGCCCAGAGGACTCAGTGTCCCTATTGAGTGACAGGGGCCCAGAGGAGTCAGTGAACCACTCTGGGCCACACAGCAGCTAGTGGAGTCCAAAGTCCCGACTCTACTGCCCCGCCATCTGCACACTCGCAACAGGAGACACCTGCTCAGGCTGCCCCAAAAGGTTCTCGGGAAACCTAGAGATTCTACAGCTTCCCGCTCGAGATTTCCCCAAACCATTACCCTTTCCGTACTGAGGAGGTACAGACCGAGAGCGGCGGGGAGGGCAGGCTTTACAAGCGCAATGAAAGAGCCCGGCCAGGGGCTCAGGTGTTGAGCTTTGACCCTATGAACCAGGAGGTCGCGGTTTGATTCCCCACCAGGGCACATGCCTGGGTTGCAGGCTCGATCCCCAGTAGGAAGCGTGCAGGAGGCAGCTGATCAATGATTTTCTCGCATCATTGCTGTTTCTCTCTCTCCCTCTGCCTTCCCCTCTGAAATCAATAATAAATATATATTTATGTATATTAAAGTGCAATGAAAGACAGAGAGGCAAAGGCGCTGCATGGGAGGAGGCCCCCCGTGACCTGTCTTCCTCTTGCTGCTCCCGGCACAGCAGAGGAAAAGCCCTCCCTCCCTGCAAACCGCTATCACATCCCTCGTCGACACTCCCAGGAAAGTACCTGGTCTTGTGCATTCCCGGCCCTTTCTCAGAACAGTCCCCAACTTACATGTTGTGCAGGGCACACCAGCCACAGTGAGGGTCCCCCGAGCTCAGGCACTCCCCACAAGTCGTGTACTGCTCACAGGATTCCACGGGGACCCTGGTGATCTGGTGGAGAGAGGAGAGATCATGGTTAGATCCGGTAGCGCCGCCTCGCCGATGTGCGTTCAGACTCATCTACAACGTCCCCACTCTTGCACCGTCACCACCACTAAAGGGGAGACACTGGGGGGCATTTTGGTGGCCTCCATGTTCACATCTGTTGGCCTGGCACAGGTAGGAGGCACAGCTAAGCCGTCTGCGTTTCTCAGGTGGCAGGTCCAGGCTTCCTGCCTTCCCAGCAATGAAGCAAAACCTCAGTGTCCTTCTGCCCGCACTGCAGTCCTCGCGAGAGCTGGGCTTGCTCGTGCCAAGTGCTGAAAACCTTAACTCTGTTAAAAGGCTATCGCGTGCCTCCAACTCGTCTCTGAAGAGCTTTCAGCTGGACTTGGGCTGAGACATCCTGCCTGCACAGAACGCACTTGAAAAGGGAGAGGAGGAGAAACTTTTCCTATCAAATAATATTCATCATGTGGCACAGTCACTTTACAGCCGACCAAACATACCACCTGGATCCAATTATCCCCATTCTCTGATGTCTGAATTCCGTTTCCTTAGCAAATGTCCCAGCATCTGAAACGTATGGCTAAATGGGAACATCCACAGAGAGGAGCTGCCTTTCTGGGGAAAGTGGGGGTTTTCAGATCAAGCTTCCCACGCCCTCCCTCCCCCCACCTCCAACCCCCCAGGACTGCAGCCCCTGCCAACTCCTCCTGGCATCCCGGTTGTGTCCTGCAGGGTTTGAGCTGGGCCTGTTTGGACATTTCCTCACCCCTCCGTGCCCAGCGTGTGCGACATTAAGGCTGGGCAGGAGGGGCAGGAGGTTAAAGTTTTCCAGTTGATACGTCCTAGGTATCTGTTGCTGGCTGGGGCAGGAGGCCGCGGGGCCGCAGAAACATCTACTAGGAATGGGCTGGGAATAGCTCCTCATTTGTCAGGGCGTAGAGGTCCCCCACCTACTGGATGTGTGAGCTCAAGTGAAAACACAACCTGTGGTCCAGCAGCACAGTGTTCCGCCTCTGGCAGGGGCAAAGGAGCTGATGGAGATGCCTTACAGCATCCTCCCGAGAGGCTGGGAGGGAGCCTGACGCTGCTCATGCAGCAGATGTTCAATAGATGGCACTGTATGGAGGCTCGGACGCTACGCTCAAGAGAAACAATAGCAAACTGGACACAGATCCTGCCCCCGCAGGGCCCACGGTCCAGTGGGAGTTGGAAATGACAAACCAAGTTGCTTTCCACTGTGCCTGGGATGGGTGTGTGCCCTGGTTGCTTAAAAAAGGGGTACCCAGTACAACCTGCCGGGAGGAAGGATGGAAAGGCGAGTGGGGAAACAATGGGCCTAGAACAGTGGTCGGCAAACTGTGGCTCTCGAGCCACATGTGGCTCTTTGGCCCCTTGAGTGTGGCCACGAAGTTTCAATCGCACTGTATGTGCGCGCCCGCACGTGGTATTTTGTGGAAGAGCCACACTCAAGGGGCCACAGTTTGCCGACCACTGGCCTAGAAGGGCATTCCAAGGTGAAAGACCATCACCCACATAAGTAACCAAGCTCAGTATGCACACGTGTAGGGTGTGCCCTGGATGGGCGGGGCGGAGATGAGGCGGGTGGGATGTAAGCGAGGGCTCAATGACCAAAGGCGCCAGCCTCACGAGCCTTCTTTTGCTCTGTTGCCGAGGCACCTCCCCCCCATGCTTACAAATAACACTTAAGATTCTCCATTTCAAGGCCTTCCTGTTAGTGAGTGACATGATCCGCTTTAAACTTCCCTAACCTTCCATTAATCACAAAAATAGAAAATGCAAGGAGAAATGTAAAATCCTGCAGTTTGATTTTGAAAAATTCATACTTTAAGTGGAGGCTGGGGGATAGCTGGTTTGAAACAGCTCATGCGGAAGAGACCTGAGGGTTTGCGTCGCCTCTATACCCAACACGACCTGACACAGCAATGGAATAGCTGGAGGGGCTAATTTGCTCACGGGCTGCGGAAACAGGGACAATGTCAAGACTGAGAGAGGTCGCCCCACACCAGGGGGCTCCCTGCTCAGGTCTCTGCACCCTCCCGCCCCCCACGAGGGGTGTTGCTCAACCAAGGATCCTTCCCAGAGGGAGGTCACAATGGGGTGGACCCGGATGTGGCATCGCAAGTACAGCGGATGCACTTGGCCTGTTTATTTGGCTCAAAAAAGACGAATCTCAGGTTGGCCATGGAGGCTGTTTTTCAATGTGTGAAGGGCAGCAGTGTGGCTGCAATAAGCTCAACAGAAGAAAGGCAAGGCTGTGCAATAATGCACCGGACCTCCCTTCCGGAGGAGCGCCCCCCAGTGGGATGTGTAAGCAATTAAAGTGACGTGTGTCGGGGGCTGTGAAGGGATTCCTGCCCTCCGAGGGGGCTGACCTAGTCCTTCCACTTCTGCCACTCAGGATTCGGTTTCCCACCGTTTACCTAACTCCGTCCTGACACTGGTTATGCTGTTTGTCCCGTATAACTTGTACAATTAAAAGCTAACATCCAGCCATCGCCACCAGCCACGGATATCACATTGCTTTAAGCGCAGTGGTTCTCAACCTTCCTAATGACTGCGATCCTTTAATACAGTTCCTCATGTTGTGGTGACCCCCAATTTCATTGTTACAAATTGAACATAATTAAAGCATAGTGATTAATCACAAAAACAACATGTCGTTATCTATGTGTTTTCCGATGGTCTTAGGTGACCCCTGTGAAAGGGTCGTTCGACCCCCAAAGAGGTCGCGACCCATAGGTTGAGAACCGCTGCTTTAAGGAGTAACCCTTCACCTCTGACTCCAGGCCTGCGATTCCTACCAGGAGCACCTTTCTGACAGGTGCTTGCCATACACTGTCCCAGTGTGCCTCTCCGGGCCGGGGACTCAGCCCTTGGGGATATCTGTGACCCCGGCCGCCCGCTCGGCTTCCGCCTGGCCCCCTCCCACCCACCCTCCGAGGCCTGAGAGCAGCAGCCCAGTGCCCGGCCTTCCTTTTTTGGGTTTCGGGTTCCATGTGAGTGATGTCTGCATCTGGCTGGAAATTAAAACAACTGTCTGCATTGCATTCGGCCCGTCTGTCAAAACACAGCCCGGCTCTCAGCAGCTGGGCAAGGGGGCCCTGAATGGGAGCAGTGTCTCCACCAACAAAGCCCACTTTCACGCCAAGTGCCACGGAGATAGTGAGAACCCTGTTCTTCTCCAAACATGAAACCAATAGCACAACTATTTTTCCTGTTTCCTGGGCCCTCCTGGTGGGAATTTTTTTTTTTTTTTTAATGCACTGAGTTGAAGAGCAAAGCGAAACAGGAAACTTATTGGGGTGAGGGGGCGGTTCTAAAACGTGAATGTCTCTCTCCTCAAAGATCTAACAGCCACATACAAACCAGGCACAGGGAGGAGGAGACCCTCCGAGTCAGATGTTCGTTACCATGGGCTCCCTGTCTTTGCTATATTCTCGGGCCGTGACAGTCATTCATCACTCAGCAGCCAATATTCATTGATCATGTCCTACATACAGGCCGCACCAAGCACTTCAGGGGACTAAACACAGCACAGCATTAAAACACAGCCATCATCTTCGAGCTGCAAAGTGACCTGTGTTTCTAACACAGGCGCGGAGAGAAGGTTTTTTGGGTTTCGGGTTCCATGTGAGTGATGTCTGCATCTGGCTGGAAATTAAAACAACTGTCTGCATTGCATTCGGCCCGTCTGTCAAAACACAGCCCGGCTCTCAGCAGCTGGGCAAGGGGGCCCTGAATGGGAGCAGTGTCTCCACCAACAAAGCCCACTTTCACGCCAAGTGCCACGGAGATAGTGAGAACCCTGTTCTTCTCCAAACATGAAACCAATAGCACAACTATTTTTCCTGTTTCCTGGGCCCTCCTGGTGGGAATTTTTTTTTTTTTTTAATGCACTGAGTTGAAGAGCAAAGCGAAACAGGAAACTTATTGGGGTGAGGGGGCGGTTCTAAAACGTGAATGTCTCTCTCCTCAAAGATCTAACAGCCACATACAAACCAGGCACAGGGAGGAGGAGACCCTCGGAGTCAGATGTTCGTTACCATGGGCTCCCTGTCTTTGCTATATTCTCGGGCCGTGACAGTCATTCATCACTCAGCAGCCAATATTCATTGATCATGTCCTACATACAGGCCGCACCAAGCACTTCAGGGGACTAAACACAGCACAGCATTAAAACACAGCCATCATCTTCGAGCTGCAAAGTGACCTGTGTTTCTAACACAGGCGCGGAGAGAAGGCCGAGGGAATTCAGAGCAAAGAGAAAATACATCTGCATCGACAGTGTCCAATGTGACAGCCACTGGCCCGTGTGGCCGTGAGCATCCGGAAGGTGGCTAGTCCTGACTGAGATATGCCAGAGACTCACAGTACACACTGACGTTTGAAGATGTCTTACAGAAAAAAAAGAATGTAAAATACCACATTAATGATTTTTATCGACATGTTGAAAAGAAAAATGTAGTAAATACTGGGCTAAATAAAATTAATTTTAATTTCAGCCGCTGCTTCTCACTTTTTAAAAATATGTCTGCCAGCCCTAGCCAGTTTGGCTCAGTGGCTATAGCATCGGCCTGCAGACTGAAGGGTCCTGGGTTCGATTCCGGTCAAGGGCACATGCCCGGGTTGTGGGCTTGATCCCCAGTGTGGGGTGTGCAGGAGGCAGCTAATCAAGGATTCCCTTTTATCGTTGATGTTTCTATCCCTCTCTCCCTCTCCCTTCTTCTCTGACATCAATAAAAATATATTAAAAAATAATTTAAAATATGTCTGCCAGCAAAGTTAAAATTACACACGTGGCTTACATTTCACTCGCCTTTTGGTTCTGTGGGACAGCCCTGGACTAGATCAGAGTCCCAAGAAGGTGTCACGAGGGACACGGCACGTGTGTGGGTTGTGAAGGGTGAATGATGTTTGTCCAGATGAAGCGGGTTCTAGGTGGAAAGAACCGCCTGAACAGATATAGGAGAGCAGAGTGTCCT